GGTCCCAGGTCCCCCCCCGGTAGACCCCCTCCCCCCTCAGGGTCCTGCCCCTTCAGGTGTGTCTCAGGTAGACGCGGTCGTGCCTGTCGAGGTCACTGGTGACTCTGGTGCTGCTGCGAGCGCTGAGCTTGGGGGTGCTGAGACTAGGGGTGCTGAGCCTGGGGGTGCTGAGCCTAAGGGTACTGAGCCTGGGGGTGCTGAGACTGGGGGTGCTGAGCCTGGGGGTGCTGAGCCTGAGGGTACTGAGCCTGGGGGTGCTGAGCCTGGGGGTGCTGTGCCTGGGGGTGCTGAGCCTGGGGGTACTGCGTCTGGGAGTGCTGCGCCTGCTGCTTCTGTTCCTGGTGGTTCCCCAGACCGTTCCTCACGCCGCGAGCCGCTCTCTCCTCTGGACCTGCGTGAGTGGTTTGCTCGGCGCTGGAGGCGAGCTGCTGGAGCTGGGGGTACTGCGGGTGCTGGAGGTTCCGTTGCTGCCGAGGGAGCTGGTACCACGGGTCCCGGAGGTGCTCGTACTGAGGGTACTGGAGCTGCCGGGCCCGGGGGTGCCTCTGGAGCTGGAGCTGCTGCGGGTGCTGGAGCTGAGGCTACGACTGTCGGTCCTACTGCGGGTACTTCTGCAGCTGCTGGTGGTGCTGGAGTTGGAGCTGCTACTGGTGCTGGTGCTGCCTCTGGAGGTGTTGGTGCTGTCCCTGCTGTCTCTGGCGGTGCTGCGCAGCCTCGGCCGTACTTCGTTCCGCTCCTTCAGCAGGTTCTTGGTCTCCCGCCTTCCACTAGTCCTTCTCCTCCCGTAGAGTGTCCGCAGCCTGTCCCGTCACAGTCACAGTTACAGCCCGCCTCTCCCCTGCCTTCTCCTTCTCCCTACGCTGGTCCTACTGGAGGTCTTGCTGAGCGTCGTGCGCCTGCGTCCCGCCCTGCGTCGCCAGTCCGAGCTGCTCGCCCTAGTGGTCGCGGTTCGCGTCAGCGTCCTCCTCCTGTCCGTGGCACGCACCAGATGTCTCTGCGTCCGTCCACTGCTCCTCTGCGTGCCCCTTTGCCTTCTCCTCCTCAGTCTTCTCTTCCTACACTTGCCGACCCGGAGTCGGACTCTCACCGTGCTGCTTGTCCTACTGTCACGCGTCTTCTTGCTTCTCTTGTCACTGACCCTTCCTTTGAGTCCGCTGCTGCGTCTGCCCTAGTTGCTGAGCTGGTCGACTTTGCTGCTGCGTGTCGTCTGGACTACGCTGCCAGTCTTGTTGCTGAGTCTGCTGAGTCTGCTGAGTCTGCGTCTGCTGCGTCTGCGTCTGCCTGTCCTCCGTCCGTCGGGGGTGACTGTGCTCTTGGCACGGACGTCCTTGAGGACAGGCAGGAGGAGTTCCAGTGCTTTGCCGCCGCTTTGCCCCATCTCGTGTCCATGCTTGTTGCCCCTGAGGGAGACCCGGATGCTCTAGACATCCCGACCCCACGCTCTTACGCAGAGGCGATGGCCGGTCCCTACTCCTCTCAGTGGCAGTCAGCCATGGATGCAGAGATGGCTTCCTGGAAGTCCACAGGCACCTACGTTGACGCTATTCCCCCTCCTGGGGCGAACATTGTCAGTGGCATGTGGATCTTCAGGGTGAAGCGGCCGCCGGGTTCTCCGCCTGTCTTCAAGGCGCGCTACGTGGCTCGTGGCTTCAGTCAGCGACAGGGAGTTGACTTCTTTCAGACCTTCTCCCCGACCCCGAAGATGACCACTCTTCGGGTTCTACTGCACGTCGCTGCTCAGCGTGACTACGAGCTACACTCTCTTGACTTCAGCACTGCTTTCTTGCAGGGCCGCCTGCACGAGGAGATCTGGCTGCGCCGCCCTCCTGGCTTCACTGGGTCGTTCCCTCCTGGTACCCAGTGGAGCCTCCAGCGGCCAGTCTACGGTCTCCGCCAGGCGCTGCGTGAGTTGCACGACACACTGAGGACTACACTTGCGGCTCTTGGGTTTGCTCCTTCTACTGCTGACCCGTCGCAGTTTCTGCGCACCGACACCTCGCTGCCGCCTTTCTACATCCTCGTGTACGTCGACGACTTGGTCTTTGCCACTGCGGACACTGCCGCACTCTCCCACGTGAAGTCCGAGCTGCAGAAGAGACACACGTGCACAGACCTGGGTGAACTGACAAGCTATCTTGGCCTGCGGATCACCCGGGACAGAGCACGCCGCACCATTACCCTGACCCAGTCACACATGGTGCAGCAGGTCCTTCAGCGCTTCGGCTTCACGTACTCCTCGCCTCAGTCCACTCCTTTGCCTACGGGACACTCGCTCTCAGCTCTGCCTTCGGATGAGTCCGTATAGTCGAGTGGTCCGTATCCAGAGCTTGTGGGCTGCCTCATGTACCTGATGACTTGCACTCGACCTGACCTCGCATACCCTCTCAGCATCTTAGCACGCTATGTTGCTCCCGGCCGTCACCGGAAGGAGCACATGGATGCAGCTAAGAGGGTGTTGCGCTACTTGTGCAGTACGTCGGGCATGGGGCTAGTGCTTGGAGGGCGTGAGCGGCCTGTGCTCACTGGGCACTGAGACGCTTCTTGGGCTGACGACCAGGCTACTCAGAGGTCGTCTCAGGGTTACACCTTCAGTCTTGGCTCTGGCTCTGTCTCTTGGCGCTCTACTCGCTCTTCTTCGGTTCTCAGCTCCAGCTGTGAGGCTGAGATCTACGCCACGGCCATGGCTGCCCAGGAGCTTCGCTGGCTCACCTACCTGCTGACTGACCTTGGAGAGCGGCCTCGTTCTCCTCCAGTGCTGTATGTCGACAACAAGGCAACCATTGCCTTGTGTGAGGAGCATAGACTGGAGCACATGACGAAGCACATTGCTCTACGGTACTTCCTTGCTCGAGAGCTGCAGCAGCGTGGTCAGCTTCGCCTGCGTTTCGTGGCCACTGAGGCCAACACTGCTGATGTGTTCACCAAGGCACTTCCGCCTCGTGACCATCAGCGCTTTTGCACTCTGCTAGGCCTTGTGCCCACTGGGCCTCACTTGCTTACCTCTTGACCTTGCTTGTACTGCTGCATATATATATCCTTGCTCTTGCTTGTTTAGCACTGTTATATATATATGCTCTGCTGCATGTGAACTGGCCTTGTGGCCTTGACCTTGTGCTCGGAATTTGTGTGGTATCCTTGAGATCCACCCTGAGCTTGCTTTGCTTTGCTTTGCTTTGCTTGACTGGTCTTGTGACCCCTTGCTCTCCCCCACGTTGCCTATGGGGGTGTGTCAGATGATTATATTACTGATGCATATATTTAGGCTGTAGTGGGGTAGCCCATAGTGGGTACAACCCAATTAGGGTTGGTACTTGTACTTGTTTCATTTCATAGTGCACTCATTCCTCGCCTCTATCTCAACACGTCCTTCAGCGCTTCGGCATCACGTACTCCTCGCCTCAGGCCACTCCTCTGCCTACTCGCCACTCGCTCTCAACTCTGCCTTCGGATGAGTCCGTAGAGTCGAGTGGCCCGTACCCAGAGCTTGTTGGCTACCTCATGTACCTGATGACCTGCAGACTTCCTGACCTTGCATACCCTCTTAGCATTCTCACACGCTATGTTGCTCCTGGAAGACACAGACCGGAGCACATGGCTGCAGCGAAGAGGGTGTTGCGCTACTTGTGCAGTACGTCGGGCATGGGGCTTGTGCTTGGAGGGCAGAGTCCAGTGGTCCTCACTGAGCACGCAGACGCTTCTTGGGCTAACGACCAGGCTACGCAGCGGTCGTCACAGGGTTACACCTTCAGCCTTGGTTCCGGCTCTGTTTCGTGGCGGGCTACCCGCTCGTCTTCTTTTCTCGGCTCCAGTTGTGAGGCTGAGATCTACGCCGGGGCCATGGCTGCACAGGAGCTTCGCTGGCTCACCTACCTGCTGACTGACCTCGGAGAGCCGCCTCGATCTCCTCCAGTGTTGTACGTAGACAACAAGGCCATGCTGGCCTTGTGTCGAGAGCAGAGACTGGAGCACAGAACGAAGCACATTGCTCTCCGCTACTTCCTTGCTTGTGAGCTGCAGCAGCGTGGTCAGCTGCGCCTTGCGTACGTGGCCTCTGAGGCCAACACTGCTGATATCTTCACCAAGGCGCTTGCGCCTTGTGATCATCAGCGCTTCTGTACTTAGCTGGGTCTTGTGCTTACCTTACCTCACTTGCTCACCCCTTGACTTTGTTTGTACTGTTGCATATATATAAACACCTGCTCTTGCTTGTCTAGCCTTATATATATATGTTATCCTGCATGTGAACTGGCCTTGTGGCCTTGAACTTGTGCTCGGAATGTGTGGTGACTTTGTGATACACCCTGAGCTTGCTTCGCTTTGTTTGATTGGTCTTGTGACCCCTTGTTCTCCCCCACTTTGCCTATGGGGGTGTGTCAGATTTATATGACAAAACTACTGTAGGCTGTAGTGGGGTAGCACATATGGGGTACAGCTTTCTAGGGTTTGCACTTGTACCCTAAATCTGAGGGGTGTTCGAAAACCGAATCGAGGGGGACTTAGAAAATTTTCGCGGAACTGGTTTTACATACTTGTATCGGCGCTTCCGTTGTCGCCCCCACGGTTTTTTAAAGGCCGGAACTAAGCGGTTGAAGACCTCGCGTGAAAACCCGCTCTGATTACCAAGTGTGAGGATCTAGGATCGCGCTCAGAAAAGAGAATGTGAATTGAATTGAATTGAATGAATCACCTAGGTACAACACGAGGCTATATATAGGCTCGACACAAGGCCCCGTAACCAGGTGTTATGCGAAGGTTCCGCGGATCGCGAAGCGTCGCGAACAGATCCTTACCGAATTCGATAGAAGGCAATTCGGTGGCCGCCGAAAAGCCAGAATTCGGTTCACGTATCCTAGCTCGGTGCTATAACTACAATAAAATATGGGAAAGCACCTAGCCTAAGAACGCAAGCAATTCATACATGCATATACTTATCCTATGCTACAAAAAGCATGATAAAGTAAAGGCAAGCAAGCATAGCTCGCATAAGTCGTCGTACTCTTTCAAGAGGGGTCCGCCAAGGAGATCGCAACCGGCCGACTAAGCGGCGTAAGCATGGTGCGGTCTCGAAAGAGGGAGCGGGAAGCACCCGAATCAAGGGTGAAGGTGTGTAACGCCTGAGCCGACGTGATACCTGAGAGAGCAGACTCACCAGCACCTGGGGCAGCAGACGCACTAGCACCTAGAGCAGCAGCCTCACCAGCACCTAGAGCAGCAACCTCAATGCCCGGGTCAGGCGGAACGCACAAGTAACAGTCACCCTCATCTCTAGTAGACACAGCATACATGGCAGCAAGAATAGCATCAAAGTCAAGATCAAAGATAGCAACCCCCGCCCTAGACAGCTCTCCCAAGCGAGGGATCTCAATGGCGTCAGGGAACTGATGACGCCAAGCGTCCGTCAGGTGGCCGAAGCAGCGCTTGGTGGAGTGCGAGCCCCCGCACTACTCACCAGCGCGGTCGCCGGTACGGAGGACGTAGGTACAGGGACCAGTACCCCCACCTCGCTGACGCGTAGCATACCACTCACGAAGCTGCTGGGGGGACGGGGTCTCACGAGTGCGCTGTTGCAGCTCGCGCGGACCACCACCAGAGCCACTCCTCTGCGCAGAGCTGCGACCAGCTCCACCGCTGCCGCCGCCGCCGCCGCCGCCACCTCCGCCGCCTCCGCTCCCACCACCACCGCCGCCGCCTCCACCGCCTCCACTGGTGCCACCGTCACCTCCACCCCCGCCACCACTCCCACCACCACCCCCACCCCCTCCACTGCCTCCACCGCCACCTCCACCGCCCCCGCCAGCCCCTCCAGCGCCCTTGCCCCCCTTGCCCTTGCTGGTGCGGCGTCTCCCACTAGGGGCAGACGCAGCTCCGACCGACTCGAAACCAACGAGGTCGGTCGCAGCAGCACAAGCAACAGAGGGCAAGAGGGGGGAGGGGGAACACCCCTCAAAGACGGGGGTACGAGGGTCACGACGAGAGGCTCCTACCGCGACTATGCTCTTCTCTACTTCCAGGAGGCGCTCCTCGAGGAGGTCAACGGTGAGAGTGGTGGGGCAAACTGAGAGGAAGTGGTCACTGACTAAGCGAAGGGAGTCAGGGAGCCGGGTGACTATGTAGTAGAGGGTGATGTACATGGGGGGAGGGTTCTTGGCACAGAACTCAGCACGAAGCGCAGCGCGGTAGCGGGAGTCACTAGTGCAAAGGTGCGTAATGAGGTCAGCGACTGTGGGAAAGGCAGCAAGGTCAGGGAACAGGTACGGCAGCATGAGGCGGCTAAGGGCAGCAGTGGCAGGGGAAGAGTAGCGTGCAACAACAGTGTCGTACAAGGTCCTAGCACTCTTGTACTGACTATAGTGCGCACGCTCAGTGGTTGGTAAGTGGAGACGCACAGCAAGAAGGGCAGCAGCATTGCGTGTGGCCCAATGTGAGCGAACAGTGCTGTCAGCATCAGCAGGCGCGGCAGGAGAGGCACCAGAGGTGAGATCGAACAGGGAGAGTTCGTCTGCTCTATTGCACTATAGGAAGAGCTGTAGGTCATCGACCCAGACCTCGAAGTCAACAGCACGACCCTCAGCATCAAAGGTAAGGACACTGGGGGTAGCCATAACAGAAGTGGTCTAGCAGGGAGTGCTCTCACCAGTCTGGGTGGGTAGAGATCGAGGCGCCCCGATAGGAACAGGGCTGTAACCGCGGTGGTAGCAACTCGGCAGTGGCTCGGCGGCAGCGGCTCGGTAGTGGCGTCTCGACGGCGGCTCGGCGGCTCGGCTGCTTGGCGGCTCGATGGCTCGGCGGTACGGCGGCTCGGCAGTTTGGCGGCTCGGCGGTACGGCTGCGTGGTTGCTCGGCGGCTCGGCGGTGAAGGGGCTGGAAGGAGCGGCGACGGGGCCGCAAGGGGCGGCCACGGGGCCGCAAAGGGGCCGCGAGGGGCCTCGAAGGGCGGCGACGGGGCCGCTAGGGGCGGCGACGGGGCCACAAAGGGGCCGCGAGGGGCGGCAGCGGGGCCGATAGGGGCGGCCACGGGGCCGCAAAGGGAGCCGCGAGGGGCCTCGAAGGGTGGCGACGGGGCCGCTAGGGGCGGCGACGGGTTCGCAAAGGGGCCGCGAGGGGCCTCGAGGGGCAGGGACGGGGCCGCTAGGGGCGGCGAGGGGGCCGCAAAGGGGCCGCAAGGGGCCTCGAGGGGTGGCGACGGGGCCGCTAGGGGCGGCGACGGGGCCGCGAAGGGGCCGCGAGGGGCCTAGAAGGGCGGCGACGGGGCCGCTAGGGGTGGCGACGGGGCCGCTAAGGGTGGCGCGAGGGGCCGTGAGAGGGGCCTCTAGGAGGGCGCGACAGGCCGCTAAGGACAGGGGGCGCTACGAGAGGGCGGCCCACGGGGCGCGCCTTGGGCAGGGGCGACTCGCGCTCCGGTCAGGAAAAAAAAATCGCTTTCAGTGGAGGGCCCTAAGAAGCGTTTCCACTAGGGAACCTGCTCTATACCATGTGAAGAAATGAGGAATGAATGAACTAGCAAGCATGTGGGTAGAAGTTGGAAAACCTAAAAGAGTTGTACCCCATAATGTCTACCCCACTACAGCCTACACAAAGTATAGCATATGAGTTTGACAGGACCACGCAGTGGGGAGGCTGGTTGTAACTGCAACTGCGACTGGTCAGGCGGTGGACACAGTAAGGGAGGAGTAGTAACAGTAGAAGGCGGGAGACCAAGAACCTACTGAAGGAGTGGAACGAAGTACGGCCGTGGCCCCGCAGCGCCGCCAGAACCAGCAGAGACAACACCAGTACCCCCAGCTCCAGGGTCTCCAGCTCCAACTCCTGCATCACCACTAGCTCCAGCACCTCCAGTAGCTCCAGCTCCAGCAGCACCTACAGCAGTAACAGCTCCAGAACCTTAAGCTCCAACTCCTGCAGCACCTCCAGCTCCAGCACCTCCGGTACCTCCAGTACGAGCACCTCTGGGACCAACGCCTCCAGCACCTCCAGCAGCTCGAGCACCAGCAGTACCTCCAACACCAGGAGCACCTCTAGCGGTAGGCCCCCTAGCTCCAGCAGCACAGCTCTAGCTCCGAGCAAACCACTCGCGCAGCTGCGGTGGAGAGAGTGGCTCCCGCCGTGACAAGACACCCGTAGGACCTCCAGAGGACAAAGTACCTCCAGGCTCAGCACGCTCAGGCTCAGCACCCCCAGGCTCCGCACCCTCAGACTCAGCAACCCAAGGCTCAGCACCCCCAGGCTCCGCACCCTCAGACTCAGCAACCCCAGGCTCTGCACCCCCAGGCTCCGCACCATGCCAATGCGGCGCTCAGCAATCCCACTTTGCTGTGGGGAGGCCGGAAGCGTGAACGTCTGGCGGATGCCCTCCGCACGACAGAAGCCCGCAGAAGGTCGGAGGAAAACTCTCCACCTCTGCCGGAGTGCAGACGCAGAACAAGAAGTTCCGAGTCAAAACTCTCGCTGAGCTGGCGACGGGCAGCGCAGATCTAGATGATCAACACCTCAGTGACCTCACCCTTGCGGCACAATGGGAAGACTGTGGTGTAACGCGAGTAGTCGTCAACGACCAGCAAAAAGTAACGCTCGTGACCCTGTCTACGGACGTGGGTTGGGCCCCACACGTCCATGTGGAGATTCTGCAGGGGAGCCTCCGTCGGAGGGAACTCGGAGGAGTGAGGAGCGGAGCGCTGCCGTCCCTTGACTCAAGGAATGCAGGTAGGGACAGGCTGCGGTGGGAGGGGAGGGAGAGACTGGGGGAGACCAGTGACAAGGATACGGGAGGCCATAGCTCGGAGATGAGGCAGGGAGGGGTGACCAAGGCCGTGGTGCCAAAGGAGAGTATGGTGTGACAGGAGATGACATGAGCAGGGGGCAGACTCCTGACTAGACCTGGACGCGGCAGCAAACACCTGACCAGACGCGACTACCTGACCAGACTCAGTAACCGGAGGAGACTCAGTAGTCACTGTGTACAGACTCTGTGAGAGTACAACGGCTTATGCCATCTATGCTTGCTTGCCTTTACTTTATTATGCTATTTCTAGCATAGGATAATTATATGCATGCATGAATTGCTTGATTTCCTAGGCTAGGTGCTTTCCTATATTATAGTTATAGCACCGAGCTAGGTTGCGTGCACCGAATTCTGGCTTTTCGGTTGCCACTGAATTGCCTCCTACCAAATACGGGAAGGATCTGTTCGGGACACTTCGCGACCCGCGGAACCTCCACGTAACACCTGGTTACGGGGCCTTGTGTCGAGCCTATATATAGCCTCATGTTGTACCCAGGTGTTTCATTCAATTCGATTCAATTCACATTCTCTTTTCTGAGCTCGATCCTAGATCCTCACACTTGGTAATCAGAGCGGGTTTTCACGCGAGGTCTTCAACCGCTTAGTTTCCGCCTTTAAAAAACTGCGGGGGCGACGACGAAAGCGCCGATACGGGTATGTAAAACCAGTCCGCGCAATTTTTCTAAGTCCCTCTCGATTCGGTTTTCGTACACCCCTCGGATTTACTGGTAGAAGGGTTGGAATTTCGACCGTTCGATCGAGTTTCATCTCAACGGCCTAGAGAATTTCGGCCAAAAATGTTGGAATTTGGAGCGTCGGATGGATTTTCTTCTCAACGGCCAAGATCGGACGCGAATTTCGCCCAAGGGAGATTTGCGCGAACTACAGAATTTGCGCTCGTCGTTCCTTTAGTCAACTTAACTCGCAGTAAGTCGACCAGCACCTAGAATTTGATTTATTTTCGTCGCGCATCTTCCTGTAAATCACCAAATGGAGGGAAAAGGAGATATTTTGGTACAGAAAATCGCGGAGTTACGTGCTGAGCATAAGCAAATACATGCGGCGCTCCCATGACTCGAAAAATTCCTTGCAAACCAGTCGGCAACCGCCACTGCTGAGAAGAATTGAACGAGAATGGATGAACTATGAAATGAAGTGAGTACATATAGGAAACCCTAATTGGGTTGTACCCTCTATGGGATACCCTACTATAGCCTACACAACAGCATAAGCTATAATGTTCTGACACACCCCCATAGGCAATGTGGGGGAGAACAAGGGGTCACAAGACCAGTCAAGCAAAGCAAAGCAAAGCTCAGGGTGGATCACAAAGTCACCACACAGTCCGAGCACAAGGTCAAGGCCACAAGGCCAATTCACATGCAGGAGGAGACATATATATAATAAGGCTAAACAAGCAAGAGCAGGTATATATATATGCAAGAGTACAAGCAAGGTCAAGAGGTGAGTAAGTGAGGCAAGAGTGGGACAAGTCCAAGCTGAGTGCAGAAACGCTGATGGTCACAAGGCGGAAGTGCCTTGGTGAAAACATCAGCAATGTTGGCCTCAGAGGCCACGTACGCAAGTCGCAACTGACCACGCTGCTGCAGCTCACGAGCAAGGAAGTAACGGAGAGCAATGTGCTTCGTTCTGTGCTCCAAGCGCTGCTCTCGACACAAGGCCAGCATGGCCTTGTTGTCTACGTACAGCACTGGAGGAGAACGAGGCGGCTCTCCAAGGTCAGTCAGCAGGTAGGTAAGCCAGCAAAGCTCCTGTGCAGCCATGGCCCCGGCGTAGATCTCAGCCTCACAACTGGAGCCGAGAACAGAAGACGAGCGAGTAGCCCGCCACGAGACAGAGCCGGAACCAAGACAGAAGGTGTAACCCTGCGACGACCGCTGCGTAGCCTGGTCGTCAGCCCAAGAAGCGTCCGCGTGTCCAGTGAGGACCACTGGACTCCGCCCTCCAAGCACTAGCCCCATGCCCAACGTACTGCACAAGTAGCGCAACACCCTCTTTGCTGCAGCCATATGCTCTGGTCGGTGTCTCCCAGGAGCAACATAGCGTGCAAGAATGCTAAGAGGGTATGCAAGGTTAGGTCGTGTGCAGGTCATCAGGTACATGAGGCAGCCAACAAGCTCTGGGTACGGGCCACTTGACTCTACGGACTCATCCGAAGGCAGAGCTGAGAGCGAGTAGCGAGTAGACAGAGGAGTGGCCTGAGGCGAGGAGTACGTGAAGCCGAAGCGCTGAAGGACCTGCTGCACCATGTGTGACTGAGTCAATGTAATGGTGCGGCGTGCTCTGTCTTGGGTGATCTGCAAGCCAAGGTAGCTGCGCTGTTCACCCAGGTCTGTGCACGTGTGTCTCTTCTGCAGTTCGGACTTCACGTAGGCGACTCCAGCTGTGGCAAAGACCAAGTCGTCGACGTACACGAGGATGTAGAACGGCGGCAGAGAGGTGTCGGTGCGCAGAAACAACGACGGGTCAGCAGTACAGGGAGCAAACCCAAGAGCCGCAAGCGTAGTCCTCAGTGTGTCATGCCACTCACGCGGTGCCCGGCGGAGACCGTAGACTGGTCGTCAGAGGCTCCACTGGGTGCCAGGAGGGAAAGTCCCAGTGAAGCCAGGTGGACGGCGCAGCCAGATCTCCTCGTGCAGGCTGCCCTGCAAGAAAGCAGTGCTGAAGTCAAGAGAGTGAAGCTCGTAGTCGCGCTGAGCGGCTATGTGCAGCAGCACCCGAAGAGTGGTCATCTT